GAGATTGCTACAGTTAAATAACCAGAAGAGGCCGGGGCCTGTAGGCAAATAATATATGCCACAGCTAAATATCCCCAGGAAGAAGTGAGAGCACGAATACATTGAAAAAGATAGTCACATTACTAACAGCTTTGCTGGATAATGTGAGAACAGCAATGGAGAGCAGGAAGCAATTAATGTACTACAACTCATTAAATATATAAATGATTTTAAACACCTCTCCTCTCAATAAATAACATTATAGTAAATTATAGCATTATAGCGAATACAATTATATTACATTTCTATACATGAAATACTTACACCTGTGAAAAATACTAAAGTACTGTATCTACTGCCTGCAGAAGATTCCTTAATTCACAGGGCATGGGATGCAGTATCATATCATGTTCTCTCTGAGTTTGTAACACATTCTCTGAAATGTCAACATAATATCTACAATGTGCAGTAATATTCTGTATTGCAAAACGTACAATGAACATTGCACACCTTTGGAGGAATGGTCTGTAGTGCTCTACCTGAGCGATCAACACACCTGAAATGGATTTTCAGCATCCCAGACACGTGCGCAGTGATGGTGTGAGCAGAGATGATAGCTGTGTTATACCTGTACTCAGCAACAGGTGTCGTGAGCCAACGTTTCACGGGGTATCAATTGTCATGTGACAGCCAGCCGGTCAGACTGTCATCCTGCTCAGACAAAATTGACAGTTGGGACTGTGGATGAGTGATGCCTGAATGGATGAAGGATTTGTGAGCTAATCTGGGATAATTGGCATCCCAGGGGCTCAGAGAGTGGACCCCTCCCCAGTGTACAAGGTGACTGCTCCACACAGCTGCTCGTAGCTTGTGTGTACGATCAATGACTCCAAGGGCCTTAGAGGAACCACTCTTAACCAAAAAAATCCTGCTTTGTTTGCTGTTGCAGCTTGTCAGGCTGTGGAAATATTGTTAATTTGCCTCCATGCCTCACTAATGATGAAGTTGTGCACCTTGGCTCACCACACACTGACCTGTAGAACACTTCAGTCTTTTGCAAGGGAGCAGTAGCTAGAAATGCTAAAGCAGACAACACTTATGCCACTACAAGCTAACTGTTATATCTCCCCCTTTCATTTCCTTGGTCTGTCAGCGGTAAGAGACAGATGTCAGTTGCTAGTGCTTATCTAGCCTGAGTTCCTGCTGATAGTGCTTCTCAGAGAGGGCTGAGTTGCTCATATTGTTATGAGGAGCCATTTCTTTGTCTCTTGTTGTTCTTGAATTTGATGAGCTCTCTGTAGCACTCCACTGGATCTGCAACAAAAGATGGTTTATTCATGTTGTCATATTTTTGTGATGTGAGTTTGAGTAGAGGTTTGCTTTTTAGTTTCTTACCTTCAGTAGTTTTCTCTGTCTTTCATTCCCTTTTTGTTTGTCTGCTTTGGCTTCTGCAAAACTTGTCATCCTGTTCTGTCAGGAAGTCATCACCAGGCAAGTGGCAGACATTAGCTTTTTATTATTCTGGGCTTCACAGATTCTGAATAGCACTAATTTTGGAATCATTTCCTCTCTAGTTAATTTAGTCCACAATTAGTGGTGTTTTGGGGGTAACTAGCCTATAGTGCGTACAGTGATTGGAAATTTATTGTTTATTAACATCTCCAGCTGTGCCACTAAGCAAAACTGGTTTGAGCAGTTTAGGCAGGCCTGCTATTAGAATCGCATGGGCTAATATGTTTATTAAATCACACTTGGAAATACATGCCGAACCATGGCACTTGTCCATAATGGCACAAGACGTCTCTGTAATACTGTTTATGCACAGTGTAGTTTTTTATGCCTGTGTTTCATTTATGTGCCACTTTTTGTGTTTATGTTTGCACTTGTGTACAGAATAGGGCCTATAAAGTTCAGTCTGATGTGTTACTGTAAGGTTACCCTACTGAAGGTTTGAAATCTTAGCGAAAGCTTATTTTTTTATATTGTATGTTTAACATTTCTCAGGACATTCTACATACAGATTTCATATGCAGCTCAAACCTTATGTCATTTGAATAGCATTGAGTTATACTATGTATATTCTCATATGTAGGAAGCTTTTGTTTGATTAAAATAAATGCTTTGAAACAGTGATTTGGTGAATAGTTGTCACGTGTCATGTGTTTTCCTGACTTCAGCATTGAATCATAACCTTGTTCTCCCCTATCTGAAGTACTGTATCTAATTGGTCTTAAAACTAATTTGGCAATTCTGCAGCACCCACACACCCTCTCGTTATAAGATTATTTAGATATTATCCCAGCTCAAATGTAGTAAAAGTAAATGACTCCCAAAGCTCCTTAACGGAATATATTCCAAGTAATAATGAAAAAACTGCTGGAAATGTTTTCAATTTAAAATGCAATTATCATCCTAGAGTAAATTTAAAGTCTCCTCTAATGAAAGAGAACTCTGTTTATGACATTATTGAAAGACTGCATACTTATAGTAAGTCATTGTAGATGTGGACACGTTTCAAAGGCAATAAATAAAAACTGAATCATCATATTCTCGAAATAGCTGTCCTAGACAGGGGACTCTGATGAAGATACCTCAGATTACTTATATGTCATTGAAAAATTATTTTTCTTATTTTTTCCAGTTGATTTTATTTTTTATTTGTTTCTGATATTATTATGTATAAGTGTTTGTGTTTAAAATTAATTTTCTTTTTGAAATACATGTGCAGTATTTTATTTATTGATGGGTTTTTTTTCCAAAGACTCCATGACACTATTACCTTGCAAAGCATGTTATGGTTGGTTCTCACCTGGCAGTATGGATAGCCTAATCCAAAAGGCTTTATTGATATAATCCCCCTTGTGGGTAACTAATTAAAGTGTTAAGTATTTTTTAAACAAGCTGGGAAACCGGCATCCTCTACTGTTTTGTTTACTCATCATTTTCATGTAATTGAATGGCCTTGCCCTTGTCCGATGTTTTGGGTCTTTAATGACATTGAGTAGATTAATGATTCAACAATTTAGTCAAGCAAATAAAAGTCCATTTTCAAAGGTGCCCTTTTTTTCTGTCACCTCTTAATTTTGTCTTTACTTGCATGCATATAGTGGCTGATGTAAATACACGTTCAAAACATAAACAATGTTCTAAACGTGGCTTCTTAGTGGGACAGTTATCACCGATATAAAAACGACTGTACAGCAGGTGCCGCATTGTTTTGTCAGAGATTCAGAGATGTGTGAGAGCATATTGAGTTATTGTGCTTGCTCCGTTAAACTTGCATTGCGAAAAAGAAAGCTGAACATTCAATAAAAGAGAGCCGTGCAATTTTCAAGGTATTGTCTCTTTGACTGTGATTTCCACAATGTGAGTGGGTATGGCCCCCCTCCTGCCCCCACCCAAAGGGGACCTGCTGTATAACAGTTTGAGCTCATTCTTCGTTCATCATGTACTGCTGTCAGCCTGGAGTTCACAAGGAGTTTAATAAACTGTTTGGACTTTGGCTGGGTTCCAAGAGGGATAAAAATGAAATAGATTTGTTTCCACATATAGTGAAGCAGAGCCCAAAAATAAAAGCCTAATCTGTTCTGTATGTTAATTACTTCAACTGAATATTAATTTCTGCTGGCTAAGCACATTTATCCAGAGCTTTTCTGTAGAATTAAATGTTTTATAAAGACTTAAGCAGTTCCCACTTTTAGCACTCTGAACTGTGATTTGTATGGCAGATTTAATTTATTTTTCTCCTAATTTGGCAGGAGTGCCAAGCCTTTCCTGCACCCTTTATTGAGATCTGTATACAAAACACTTTATATGAAGAAGTTTTGAGCATTGCAACGCATCTCAGCATAACAGAATTCAGATGTAGCACAGCAGGTATAATTATATTCAGTCATTTGTAACATCTGTTGTGCTTTGAAAATGTTAATAATACAGTTTTGGAATGCTTTCCGTTAAAATGGAGAAGGTAGCTGACAAGCCATGAAATTGGTGATTTAAAAAAATATATATGTATACTGCTGTAAATGGAATCCTAGCTCTTCAGGAAAACATCAATAGTTAAGGAAGCAACTAATATACATGGCTCCGAATTTCCTTCATGAACTCATTGACATGTTTCAGAGCAGTGATTTAGCAATCATCTTAACAATGACTTATTTGTTGGTTCGTTTTACATGATCAGATGAAGGAGTGATAGCTGCTTTCTCCTCTCTGTGCCATCTTAATAAAGACATACAGTACAGCACCTGAGGGTTTTATATCAAAGAGATGTGGGTTACTGGGCCCAGAAACACAGTCAGCATGAAGACAGTAGAATTAAATCAATTTTCAATCTCTTTTGATGAAGTCTGTTACCACTGCCTGGAGAAAGCATTACCTGCTACATTCTTGTGCTTTGGATTTGAAGATAGTCCATTTATACCTTCTGAGAAATAGTGATAAATCAATATATCTCCAAATTGTTTTTACTTATACTTTGCAACATACAAAAAACAAAAACATCATGTGCAATGAAATTATCTGTTATATCCTGTGCATAACAGATTTTACATGCACTTTCTTTAGCTGATTTTAAGTTAAGTTCAAGTTTGGAATTAAGCCTTTTGAGAATTTTGGTGCCTTAAGCAATCTAAACATTCATTGAATACAGTATGTGTCTCACGGTTTTGAAGATTTTTTACATACTTTTTATATTTTGTTCTTAAATGAGAGACACCTCTTTATCGCCAGCTGTTCCTCAAATACTTATTTGAAATCTGCCATATGGTTAACATGCTGTAATCCTTTCAGAAAGCAGGAAGAACAGTATGGAAATAAAAGTGTTTTAACACTATAATTTTGCGATGAAAAATTGTCCTTCCATCCAAAATTAACTTTTGTCCAGCATCTCTGAGTTCTGATTCACTGCACAACCCAAGCTATCTGTTGTGAAAATGACACTGCATTGCAACAATTTATGCTCTATGGAGTGGAGTATGACTTTTAGATGACAAGCCCAAGGTGGCTTTAAAACAGAGTGAGTTATAAGCAATGAAAATTAAATTTGTAGAAATCTCCTGGTTTACGACCTAAGTCAAGAGAATATCGAGGCAGAACAGAAGCAGATGTTGTCTGTATTCTACCTTTGGAATTCTTAGCGGAGCTGGATAAATTATAGTTTTGATTGTGCACAGTAAAATTCATGCAGATTTATTGATATTAAGATTTTTAAACTAATTATAGTTGTACTGAAAGACCGCACATTTCAGTTTTGTCTGCAGTGCATTGTAATAGCATGGTTTCAAACAATTTCGTTATTTAATTTTATAAACCAGAATCACAGAATATTCTTAGTCTAAATGCTTTGTAGTTGATTGCAATTCGTCTTGTCTTAAATCACAGCAATGCATCAAACCTACAGTACCTACATTTTCTTCCCTGTTACTGTACATTTAATTCTGTGGTATACAGTAGGTTGGGGTTTTTTTTATCTTTACTTACATCAATATAAACTGCTTAACATGCAGGTTGATTTTTGTTGATAAAATTAATTACTTACCATCTTTCCAGCCTATACAGCAAGTAAAGAAAAGCCTACTGTTAAATTCAGAAATGGGCTTAGGGGAAATTAATTAACTAAGTTGGATGTTCTTCAAGGATGTGCAATCAGTCTATATGAACATTTATGTTAATCACTGTATACGAATTTATGCAAAACAGTGTGCATCAGAATAAAATACTGTCATTAGCCTGCATGGACATAGCATTTTATTCCACTAATAAACCTTCTGTATGCTTAAGATACTATAGCAGTTTTATAACGCTCGGGAGCAAAATATGTTTATGTCTTGGGTAAATGGGACTGATATAAAATTGCCACACGTAAGCTACTGTATGTGGCCTTAGAGCAGGAATAGGATAGGGAAATCTCAGCCAGTGGAGATAAGAAAGTAGGCAGGTATCTCATGACCAGAAGCAGAAGTAGAACAGGAGTAAAACAAAACTTAAATAGGTGTCTTTCTTAAACATAAAGTAGAAGAAAATGTGATCTATGTTCTATTTAAGATGTACCCGGGTGTGTTGTGGTACTCAACTTCTTCCCTCAACTGGGAAACAACATTTTTACAGAGAAGTAAACAAATAGCCCTTTTAATTACTAGTAAAATTGTAGTTCCATTCCAGAAAGTTACTTGTAGGCTTATGTAATAGTAGAATTGTAGTACAATTTATTTTATTTTGTTGAATTCCAGTGTGTGGGGAGAGAATCTGTTTCCCGCAAGGTCTCTTTAATGCCATATTACTTTCAATAGATTTTTGATTTTTAGTAAGGGTGTTTTGTATGTACTGTATTTTTCAAATCTGGGCATAAACTTAATTATGCAGCAATTAGTGAAGATTCATTAGCCAACATTATTCACAGTAACACATAATTGGATCATAGTGAACAACAATCCATCTGTTTAGCTATGAGAAAGACTTTTGCAAACACTAGTCTAAAAAAATCTGGCCATCTGTTGCATAAATCTTCTGAAATTACTATACAGAATATTGAACATTTCAACTGCAAAACCTGTTGAAATATTTCTCACAGCAACATAATGACTAAGTAGGAGGTAAGAGAAGAAAATAAAAAAAATGACACACATAGTTATGCTGGAGACCAAATGTGTGAAATTTGCCTGGTAATGTGATTACATACCATTAAAAACCACAAAGGTTATTCAACCTATGTGAAATTTGTAAACTAATTTTATTATGATGAATAATATGATATTATTATGAATAATATGATGCTACGGTCAAAAGTTTAATCATCTGTTGCAAAAATCTGTTATATAGACTTAACATTTGAAGAAGAACTCACGACTGTATGTTGAATTCTATATTTGCCATTCTGAAACACTTTTATTATTACTGTAATTAATATTTTAAAAAGTTTGTCTTTTAATTGGTACTGAAATTATTCAATTTAATTCTGTTAAGAGGGTACATATTTTCCTTTAAATGCATGTACAGTACCTGTACTGTATATTGTATGAGTATTGGAATCAATAGTATTTGTTGCATGTTTAATACAGTAAATTATATATTAATATAAAGTACATTACTTATTCATTCATACAAAAAATGCAATTTGCCTGTTGTTGTCTTTTTTAACACTTTGATGTAAGTAATGCTCTTTTTTTGTGTTTTTTTTTTGCTTTACCTTCCCAAGATGCCCTTTTTTCCCATAACCCCTTCCGTTGCCTGTAACTCCAGCAATTCCTTTATATCTCCACCCTCCATCACATGCTTTTCCTGTACCTTAGGGTCGAGTTGCCAGATGAGAACCCTGGACAGTGGGATAGGAACTTTCCCCCTCCCCGATTCTGCCGACAGGGTGACTGGAAGACACCTCCCCAAGTCTGAATCCAACCCCGAGAGAGTGCTTAGTGTTTCCCCTGAACCTACGGAACACCACGCCCTCGCTGCGTTGCCAAAAGCCACAACCTTAGAAAGAGAAGTGCCTTCAAACTGCGAAACCTGTCAAGATGATCCAAGCAGTATTGGTCAGTCCCTGTCAGACCCCACTGTGGCTCCTTCTAGATGCGTATTACAGAGGCACCTTTCCACTCCTACCATCTCAGGTAAGCAACGTCTTTCTCCAATTTCCGTTCCCAGTTGTACGGATTACATGCATGGGTCGCTGAATTATTCTCATGTATTGACCCACCAACTCCTTGTAACATTCTGTGAAAGGTGGGAAGATGTACAGGACAACTTTCGAGAAACCTCTGTGGAACTACCACTAAAATAGGATGAAACATCCCATTTTAACCATATGCCAGCCTCCTCTTCCAATTCCTATAACCTTGAGTGATTTTTTGTTGTTGTGAATTGTCAATCCCCAAAATGTTGTCCAAATAACTGATTTTTATTTAGCGTTAATTTTAGGCACATTTTGTATTTTTGATGTGCAGTGTGTGCACATACAGTACATACTGATTTCTGCTGTGTTTTAGTCATTTTAAATTACCTGAAAACAGAAAAAAAACAACTACTTAATTACTTAACTAAGTCTTCACCTGTGAAACTCACCCTCACCTCCATGCTCTCTGCCGTTCCCTCACACACACACCCCCCCCCCCTTGGCCAAAGGACCCCTGAAAATAAAATTAGACATCTGTGATAGAAGCACAATGCTAGAATGGTTTGAGTGCCTCAGCAGCAGCACTCCAGTCTATGTCCTCACCCCACATACTGTACAAGTGACACTGGGCACCATGGGTTCCGGCTGAACAGAGCTCCATAAAAATAATGTCGCCAAAAAACAGAAGCCAAAGGAGGGAATATGGTGAGAGCAGAAAGTAATATCTAATTCTGCTTCTGCAAAAGGCCAAGAACGGCATTATCATTTAGCAAGAGGGTCAGGTGAGATCAACAAATATCCTTGTTTATAATAGTTTACAAATCTGCCCCACATCTGGACAATATCAGAACATGTACCAAGCTGCCCCTGTCTCCCCCTGGACAGAAACCAGTATCATGTGGCAGAATCTGCCTGGGTCAAACATGCTCTGTGAAGAAAATATAAGTGATTCATTAAATGATTAGGGTTTTCTTCAGCTGTAACAATCAATTCCTTATCCCACACATTATAAAAGCTCCTAAAGGATTGTACAAAGTCCGTAATATAAAGTCTTGAGGATGAAAGTTAAAAATACAGAAGAATAATTATTGCCAATCCATTTGTGACGCAGTTTTGAGACTTGTACTGTAGGTGTATTTAATGTGCTGTAAATGCAGGAGGCATGTGGAGTACTACATAGTTTTGCAACGCGTGCCTGATTTACTTGTGCCTGCCATTTGGCAGTCTCTCATCTTTTAACAGCCATTGAAGTTTTGTTCATTATCCATCCCTTGTGTATTTCATGTGAACAATCTGGAGTGGCAGAAGCAGTGTAAAGAATAACCACGAATGTAATTTACCTTAAATGAACAGAAAACAAATAACAAAGATTATTAATGAACTTCAAAAACATTTGAGCAGGGACACTGACAAGGACATCACAGTTTTTCGGTCTTTTAATTCCAAACTGACCTTCACCTACTCTGCTCAAAAGAAGAGCTCTTAGATCCATGTCAAGTCCAATGAAGGAGCCCTGACACCTGCTAATGTGTGCTTTAACATTTATTGTATTAAGTGGATTATGCAATGAGACACACAGCCACACAGCCACATATGTTAGTCATCAAAGACACCTGCTGCTTGTTAGGTTAAAAAAATACATCTGAAAGAAATGTTCTTTCTAATAGTAGTTTAAAATAATTGGGTAGCTAATTAAAGGTACAGTGACAAGAGATTCATAAGAGAGAGTGATTACAGATACAGATTATATGGTCCATGCTTGAATAATCACGTGTGACCTCAATTCTGCAGCATACAATGGAGTAGACTCCATGATTAAACACTGTCATTATAACAAATTGAACAAAAACATTACAGCACCAGATTGCCTCATAAGTAGAGAATAAGAGGAAAAGTCTACCCTGATCTTATGCAAATTTCCACTGCACGGCTGTTTCTGGAGAGACACTGTTAATTAACTTGTCAGAATGCAGAAGTTGAAAAAGAAAGAAAAAAGCTACAGACAGATATTCCTTGCAATAAGATGTTGACTAATGCTTCTTATGGGCTTTTCACTTTGATTATGAATGGTGCTTAGTCACTAAAGGTTAAAGTTCTTGACTGTTCTCTACAGTAAGAGTTTACTGTTCACGATGTATTATGTGACTCAGCACTTGGAAGGGATTAGTAAGTAATTGCTAAATTGATATATGAAACATTGAAGTCAGTTCTGACTGAAACAACGTGACACTTTGTTTGATCTCTTTGTGCGGAAACATACAAACACTAGTGTAACACTCACAGGTCTGTGAGAAAGACTGTGATGTCAGGAAGAGAAGGTCAGTGAAATCATTAAAAACCCTAATAATGCATGGCCTTTATTTAGCATGATTCATTTTTCATTGCAAAGGTTTCCAGAAAGATTTATAGATTTATAGGAGGGGACCCACTTCATCACCACTGAGGTGCAGCCCCCACCTGGGTAACACCCAGCTGCCATTCTGAACCTGCAGCCCTTGTACACAGCAGATCAGGGGAGGAGTGAGGAAGTCAGTTTAGCTAAGGGGGAATGTTAGGGAGCCCAGATTGTATGAACCCAGAGTAGAATTTATAATAGGATTTGTCAAGATTGACTAGTCATGCAAGAGTACTGTGGAAACAGTAGTTGCGACTCATTGCAAATGACATACAGTATAGTGGATGGGCAGTAAAATAAAATCAGCCATCTCTAATAATATCAAAAAGAATATTTCCTGATATTTTAAGGTGTCAATGTAGAAACACAAACACGAAATAATAAAAAACAAGCTTGTCTCATTAGACACAACATTTGTAGTGGATTTGTAGAAGGAAAATATAAAACATTTACAAAAAAGGAAATGAACAAAAACTGTACAAGAAAGAACAATTGATTGTAATGTGCCTTGTGAACAACGGTTCTCTGTTGCAATTGGACATCAAAAGAAAGACTTAGTTTTCCACATCAGTGTTACCATTTTGCAGATCACATGTAATTACAGTCAGCTGCTAATTTATTGTCTGCTGGGTACACTCAAGGGTATTAGCAAGCCAAGGGCATATGAGGTGCTACATCAACAAATGAACGATACAGTGTGCATTCAGCTCTGACTAGTAGCAAATGGATTCAACATTAAGTGCACAAATGAATAAAAACATCTGCGTAAAGTGATCTGTCTTGGGGTGCTCAGCATTGTATGTGTTGAAAATAAACATCAGGTTGAATTGCTTTTTCACCAACATAGGCATAATGAAGCCCCAGAGACCAAGCGAGAAGGAGCACATCACTGTCCCTGCCAGGATTCCAGAAGGCCATGAGAAACACACAGAAAAGAGCAGGAACAGCAAGGAACACAACAACCTACAAACGGTAAGGATGACACCCGTTAATTAACTTTATCACTCATTTTCTTTGGCTTCTTCTCTTCTGCCTTGCCCCAGAAATCCAAGCTTATACTGTACATAACGAGATCTGTGTTCCTGTGGCTCAGTCCATAGCTCTGCATCTCATAAAAAAAATTGTTATTCTTGTTACAAGTTGGAGAGTTATAGTGATAATGACTGCATGTGCTTCATGTAGGTGTTTGTTAATAACACTTCATCTTTTTAAGCCTATCAGCCATGCATTTTAAAAAGAAAGTTTTCAGAGATATTGTAGACCGTGTGCAGCATTGTCTGTGATTGTTACCCCTCTTCAATGTACTGTATGTACTGATATTAATGTGTCAGGCAGCACAGTGTTGCAGTTGTTCGCACTGCTGCCTTGCAGTGCTGGGGCACTGGGTTCAATTCTGAACCGGGCGCACTGTCTCCATGGAGTTCTGCGGGTGCCCCAGTTTCCTCCCACAGTCCTAAGACATAATGGTAGGTTAATTGGCTTCTCGGAAAATTGGTCCTGGTGTGAGTGTGTCTGTGTTTGCCTTGTGATGGACTAGTGTCCTGTTGGGGATAGCCTGTGGCGCTCTAGGAAATGGAAAAATAGGTATTAATATGTCATATTGTGCAGAGCAATGTGATTCAGACTTTGTCTATAGACTTTGGACCTTTCATTAGGTGTGTACAAGCTTTTCACCTACTAGTTAGCTAGGGTAAAACTTTAATTGTGTATTGCTTTAAAATAGAGGGTATAGCACATGTTTAGCAAACATCTTTTACAGCCAAATTAAGAAAGATTTGTTTTTTTCTGGCATACATTGAAACACTGTTACTCTGACAAGGTAAAATAATTGCCTTTATTGCAGTTGGGAAATAATGCAAAGTTGGAAATAATTCTTTAAACAACTGAGCATGAGAGCATTATACATTATAGATTGATATTTTCTGTGTAAAAATAAAGTGTTACCTGATTGTATTATTAGTATTATAATGTATGTCTATGTAAGTATAGGATTTTTTTAGTTTTAAAACTATGGCTTCTGATAAAGAAATTTCACGACAGAATTTAACATTTTATCAAATGAGTTTTCTCTTTTCCTACCAACCTATGGCAATCCAAGACTCTGAGGGGAAACTGGTTCTGTTGACAATAGCAGAGGTCAAACTCTTCAAAACCAATGTCAGACTCTTCACCAAGAATTCTCTACTGTACATGACAAACCCTGATACCTTGTGTAACCTTGTGGGAAACGCAAACTGTTCTTCAAGAACAGCTAGATACACATCAGCACAAAATGGTCTCAGTGAGTGTGTGGCTGCTTGAAAACCTTTGCTTCAGCCTTTTTGTTATGTTTGCACTCCTCAACCTCACCTTTGTCCCCATTTAAAACCCAGAAACCTCTTCAAAATAATTAGTTTGCCTTGTTTGGGTCCAGTCTAACTATTACTGAACAGATCAGGGTTCTTAGTCACCTGCTTAACCAATGGGGAATCTATCATTTGCATTAATTACAGAGGTCTTCAACTCCGACATTGAACACAACTTCATGCAATATGCCGGAGCTCGCTTGAAGGTTGGAAATTGTCCAAGATGCTTCTGAAGTAAAATTTAAATCTGTGACCTCCTGCTCTCAGAGAGCTGTGTCATGTATTGATCTTCGTAATAGCCAACTGAAGTGCTTAAGATGTATTTTTTTCAAGTGACAGTGGACTTGTTGCTGTATTTAAGGGTTGAAATGTAATTAAATTCCAAAAGGACTAGTAAAAAATGAATGCAATACTTGTTATTATAGTCATTTTGTTTTTTTAAAGAATGTCTGCACTGTTTAAGTAAGTTTATGACATGATTAAGCCAGTATTTCAAATTGCTCTAAATGGCGTGGATTTTAGAGTGGAACCTCAATCCATTTGAATAAAACGGATCCAAAGCATAACTAAGTAAGCAAATTAACAACTGTATAATTGTAAAATACTCCTAATATCCGACGGCAATGAACAGAAACAACAGTAAAAATAAAGTGGTAAATGAAAGATTATTATAAAAATTGCACTAGTTTTAAGTGCTTTGAGATTACAGTAAAAGTACTGTATAAAATAAAATCTGTTCTTAACCATTATATTTTAAATTTTAAATTTTATTTTACCTGTAATAATAAAAGTGTGTGCTGTATATCATATCAGAGTATATCTGAGTACATATACTATACTAGGTTTGTATATAAAATATTCAAAAGTTGACATGGGCAGTGTTTCTTTTTCTTACTGAAAGCCAGTTTTCTTCTGCACTGTTTGGTTTCCTCTGGTTTTAAAACTAAGCAGTGACAAACGAACCAAAGGTGTCCTGAACAGCTATGCGTATCCTGAGCCTGTGCTTTGCGCTGGGAACAAGGATCATCTCTTTTACAAGCAGTTCAGTTCAATGGGCCACATTCTCCTCGGAAGTCCAAGCGTTTCTCTGATAACAAAATGAATCATTAATGGTTACATCTGTATGAAGTTAATTTAGATTGTATTCTAAACCCAAGCTACCCAGTGAAGGAGGCTTTATTGCCTCTAGATTTTGCCGATGTCTGAAATATTGAAGAATAGGGATGCTTTCGTAACCTGGGTTATTGTGGTACAGTATGGTGTGTGTTTTCAACTAGAAGCTGTTTCTTCCTTGTGCAGGACAGAGTACTACGGGTGTGTACATACTCAGGCAGCAGCAGTGGTACCGAAACGGAGTCCGAATACGAATTGCATGAGCCTGGTCCTGATGTACTGGTTGGCCAAATGAAGAAACACAACCAAGGTTAGAAAAGATCTATTTAATGTGAAATACATTCTAACATTCTAACATTCTAACATTCTAACATTTCACTTTGTATCTTCTTCCTGTGTTATTTCAAAGTTTGCTCTACATTATTTAATTTTGGATGTGGTTTTATGCATTAACCTGTTGTGCTTAATGCATATTTAAAAGGGGGTGTAGTTTTGTTATAGTTTAGCATTTTCCACTTTGCCTTGTTTTCCCTATACTATTCATAATAAATCCACTTTGTTTAACATAAGGTTCTTACCATGGGTACATGTACGATCCTGGCCTCCAGGTCATGACAACAGGCACTAAGGGCACTAAGCTGATGTGCCCTCTTTGTGATCCTGGCTTTTGATTTTAAAGAAGATAAAACCAAGCAGACAAAACGTTTTTCCAAAACCTGATCTCCATATGGTGCATACATTTATATATAGACTAATGTAAATCTGGGTTCAGTTATTTAATAGCAAGTGAAAAAACACAGTACCTGACATTACACACAGTAATGTACTGTGTATTGGAAACTAGCATTGTCCTCAATGTAAAGAAACCTGGCATATATGAAATATGAAAACAGTAAATTATACATTTCTTATGAAGCTAAATTCATCAAATAAAATCTGCTGGCTGTAAAGGTCAGCAATTGTAACTCTAACACTGCCTCTCCAACAATAAACACAGAATCCATTATGACGCAAACTGTTTTCCTCAGATGACCAAGATGAGCAAGTGGTAAAGAAGATTGTGGCTGGAAACTCAATGTCAATTATGGACTTCTATCAACACAAGGTCTACACACATTATGGGGAAGAAGGACACAAAGATGTCCCACAATACAGCTTTGAGCACAAGGAGTCTAGCACTGACACAATGGCCGAAGACAACCCATGTGTGAGTATAAAGATCCGATTTCCCTCTGAAACTCTGCATTTGTGTGGTGATGCTTGCTTGGCAGTTCTATTTTTGCTCATTTTGCTCCTTATTGTTTTGAAAAACAAAAGAAAAATCCCACCACTGAGGTTAGGCTGTACTAATTACTGTTCTACAAGCTCCAGTACACACACCGGGATTTCAGCAAGTCTTTCTGCGCCATTCTAAAGTTATGTGGCTTATTCTTTTCTTTGTTTTTCCCTGATAATGACTAGATAACATCAGAGAAAGGCTGAAACAACACACTAATTTCTTCTAGAATGCCTGAATTTGTCCCATCAATCAACACTTCCCTCCCCTCTTGTATAGTGTAAATGCATTACAGTACATGACTTGGAAGTGCCCGCTTATGGGATGTAATTCAACTAATAATGGCAAATCTTCATCATTAACATCAATAACCTACAACTCATAGGTCTAGGCTGCTAGACGGGACATGGTGAATTACTTTGGCATCCCACAGATACTGTCTTAGAATATGGAAATTGCAATTGACAGTGATGGCTTTGACTGTCAGTAATGTTTTATGGGAATAACAATAAAAGTAGAAGACATTATGCTCTTAGAGAAGAGTGCAGTTGTCATTTTGTTTAATTCATTGAATACTTGACAGATTTATTTTAAGGAAGTCTGTTGAAGTTTCCACAGTCTACATTCTGTTCATAAACAAAGCGCACATGAATTTGAGTGTTTCATTGGATTAAAGGTCACTAAAATCTACACGGAATTCTCTCTAAGTATTGTCTCTTGCTTTTTTGATTTGCTGAAATGTTGTGTGCTGAATAAGTTTGTTGTGTGTGCCAGTGGTGTGGTTAATGGACTTTAACCCTTCAGAACTCATAGAGTAAATAACTTTTTTTTAAATAATGTATTCTGCTAAATGATACAGTAGTTCCTTTACAGTATTTTGAACATGTTTAAGAAAAAATAACCACACTTCTGCAGAAAAGAGGATTAAAATTGTTCTCACTTTTTTGGAAAAAAAAACAACTTAATTGCATTCGATCCATGTGCTGCTGTGCCTGTTTTCAGTGTCACGGGAAATTTACCTATCAGTGTTTAACTTTACATAATGACAAATGAGAGTCAGTGACCATGAAAATAAAACTCTTCTGTGTCCAGGCACAGTACTATAACCTAAAAGAAATACTGCACCCCCACCTTATCCAGTCAAAGCTGTATTCTACTAAAGATCAGGCTGTGGTGATTTGGGACAATTACAAAGATACTAGAGATAGTGTAAAAAACTGTACATGTAAGTCCAATCATATAAAAGATAAATTAATTGAGTAGTTAAGATTTGCAGAAAAAGTGTCAATGGAATATTCCTGCAGTCATCACTTTAGGAATGAACGTGAATTAGATTTTGTTTTCTTGCTTTTTTTTTATTTCAGTTTACTTTCTGTTAGATTGAACTGCCTAGCGAAATATACCTATCTCTTTCGGGGGATTGAAAACAGTGTCTTCACAGGTAGTCAGAAAGAGAGAGGTGTCATGCAAGAGGATGAGGTTCAATTAAATGGGAGCCTTAGAGAGGAACGCCACTGAGGTGATGACTTTAGCTTGGGCCTTTTAATAAGGCTTTAGGGTAGGAGGTACTGCAGCTCCAGCATTGCTGTGCTTTTGATCCAAGTCCCCACAGAAACATGATGTGTCAGGGAAAGAATCAAGTGTATTCAAGCCAGCAGGAGAGAGCAAAATCCACTAACACCACACTACTGTACAATATATAAAACAATACATTATTTTTAGAAGCACCATCTTATAAGATAGGGGGAAAAAAACAAAGACATGACTGAATAGATGTCATAAATAATACTGTTGTTTAGGGTTTTACTGTGGGTCTCATTGCCAGTTGTAAAACTGTAGATTTCATACAGTATCTTTATGGTGAATATAATACACATTGGCAATTAATTAAGGTATGAAACATATGTATCAAATATTATCCAGATTTAACTATTAAATGCCTGCAGTATATTTGTATTCAACTTTTTTACTGAAAAATCAAAAAGATCTCAGCAGAGCATCGAATTTGGCCCAGTGGTGAAATAGCTGCTGAAAGAATAGGCTGATGAATTGGCACAGCTGTGGTAAATTCTCCCCAGAATCCCTCACGGTGACAGTAAATGCACTGATGTCCCGCAATCCATAACATTGATAGTTCACATTCTAAACTCAAATGAAAAATACCAACAATAGATGTCTTACTAAACATTCCACTATAATATTTATGTGCTTGTTATATGTGTATGCATTCCATTCCTTTGGTGACGTGACATTATCTCCTGATGTCATCCTTCCTGTTTCTCTTTTTTATTTTGTTTCCTCACGTCCATCAAATTGAAAAAAAAAAATCAGTGCCATTATTATGTACAGTAAGTCTTAAGGTGGTGTCAGAGACAGCGACTTTCTGCATTATGTCCCGTTACAACTAAAAAACACAGTCATATTATACACTTTGTGCTTTGCAATAATACAGACATGGATATGCAGACTTGTTGACAGATCAGTGGTACAGCAAGGTATACATACTCATTTGGCTTTGCAGCTTTGCATGTGTCTGACAGTGTAGTCCGTGAGGGAGAAACCTGTGACATTCTGTTGTCTCAGTCCTTCCCCAGCCCCAATACTGCAATACAGTATCAGATACATGTGAATATTGCAGCAGTGAACCAGTTCTGTCGTTTTTCATCTGCATATGAAACAGAAAAGAGAAAGGTTTTGTTAGAAGCTGGAGAAAAAGGTTGCTGATGGTTTGTATATAACAGGTGCTGGTGCACAGACTGATTGTGATCGATATGTATCGCATGCATTGCTAGGCGTTGCGAGCTTATCTGTGTTTGGTATTGTTTTTGTTCTTTTAATCAAAGCTGATGGGATTCCGTTCCTTTCTGCACACATGAAGATCACACACACACACACACACACACACACACACACACACACACACACACACACACACACAAAACAAACACAAGTGGTGGAGCAAGAAAGAGGCACAGGGTCTCTGTCGGTGCTAGTGATAATTTGGGAAGTTTGTTTGGCCCCACAGTGAGATTTTAGTGTCTTTAATAACCTTTCACAAATACTCAGGAGAGTGATGTAAACTTCTGAAGCTGGCATCAGAGTCCTTACGGCCCAAGCTGGCGCCCATTCATCATGGAGACACCTCCTGACAGCTCCGCCAGCGGGCTGGGCTCTTCTCTGGATCATTCCATCCTTTAGTTGATCTTTAACAGAGATTACTGGAAGCCACTCTGACAGTGGAAAATAAGGCAATCCTTAAATCTTGCCCTCAGAAAACAATTGATATTTGAAAGAGCAAGCAGTTGAAAGTGTTATTATTGAATAAAAAGCTTTCTTTAATTAGTCATCTGCTGAAGCTTCAGTGTTAATATTGATTTTTGTTTCTCTCCTTTCATTTTATAATATATTAATTTATTAATTGCTCTCCATATTTTGCAATTATTCTTTATCCTGAGGGGAACTGTAAATGCAAATGAATTAGATTAGCCTTGGTGGTATAGAGGGACTTGACAGTATTTTTCAAAGGGCTTTGAACAGGCTTCTTATTAAAGGATGAATCATTGCTTAAAACAGCCAATAAAAAATATTTAAATACAGATCATTTCTTTCCTATATCCTTGTTTTTTAAATTTAATGTATATATGGAAGTGTGGCGGTTCACATTTGAAACATACCATATTTAGTTTGTGTTTATCAGGTTTAGTTGCAAGATTGTCATATATTTAAACAGTTTGTCATATATTTTGCACAGAAAAGTTTACATAAAACCTAAGAATAAGAAAAGAAGAAAACCTAACCTAATTTAAAAAATTAAATATATAATATATAGAAACTTTACTTCACAATATTATGTATTTTAAGTGTTGGAAATAGTCTTTTGCAGTTGACATGGTCTTGACTCATAATGACTTACAGTATGTTATTAACATGTATTTTTTATTCTAAAGCAAATGATGTGTTAATATTAATGACATGTAAACAATTTTAAACTCTGATATATGACAATCTTGCTCTTCCATGATAATGATAGTTCTTATCCCACCAGGGAAAATGGCAGATGTTGTTTTATAATTGTCTGTTTTCCTGTCATTGTCATTGTCAAGGATCACTACACGTTTGTTTTTAATTGCTCAGATCACATAGACTAGGTTGTCTATATTTTCCCAAAATAAAATATGTCCATAAACCCATACAGATAACATAAAAATGCTATTGGTATGAGACTGCTGAAACATTCATATGTCAATGACAAATTACTGACATTGCCTATAGTCTAGCACAACTTTTCTAAGAGATACAGAATGTTTCAATTAGATTTTTCTGTAGAAAGTTATGAAGTTACCTTTTATAACATTCTCTTCTGAACGGATAATGTAAAATGGATTTTTTAAGCAAAGTAATATTATACATTATTATACTTCTGGAACATATTTAAGCTACTGTATATTTCACTTCAGGGCTTTTTTATGATGTAATTCATAAAAATGAATTTAAGCATGAGCAAGCAGGCATTTCTTTCCTGCAGTAGCCCCCTAATTTCTTTTGATTTCTCTTTATATATTTAAGAACCACCATTTGCTAAAGGCATCCCAGACACATAATAGTAATCTTTGGTCCCGGGTCTGATTTTGGCCCTTCTGTGGGGAAGGTGCTATCTCTCCCCATCTTCACATGAAGTTTTACCAGGTACTCCAATTTGCTTCCTTCCTCCAAAGCTAATTGGTGTCGTTAAAATAGCCATGTGCAGTATGTGAGTGTGCCATACGATGGGATGGTGTGCTCTTCGGGGTTTAATCACTCCTTGTGCCTGGTGCTTCTGGAGTAGGCTCTGGGCTGTGTGATCCTTGCCAGGAATAAGCAGCTTTCTGATAATAGATAGTTAATATCATGAATAATTCTAATAGATTTTCTTGATAATTCTAATGGATACT